AGTTTATGTGAAAGAAAGATAAAGAGAAGAAAATAGCTAGGTGATCTGAAAAAGAGAGGTATTTATTTTTGTGTTTTTATTATTATTTTTTGGTTTTCCTTTGGGTTTAAAAGAAGAAATAACAAGTGTAAAGTGGTCTGAAGTGAATTTGGGCCAAACCATAAGGAATCGTGTATTATTTTTTTCATTCTTTTTCAATAACCTATTGGTAAACTCCATTGTCCCAAGAATTACTTTAGGTAAATCAAAAGATAAATCTAGTTATAAGATTTATAGTAAGATTTAATTTCTTTACAATCATTATATAGTCAAATCTCTAATTTTTTTATGCTTTCAAGTAGGTTTACCTCTTATGATCACCTCTGCATTTTCACTTGTCTTTGTTTTGCATCTATACGGATACTACCTACGATAAATTTGGTCCCTAAGCTTACTGATATATATTCGTTGGGTGTTTTTATGGTCAATGAGCTTACAAGTTATATGACCTTGAAAGTTGAAAACCCATCCACCTTTCACAAATCGTGTTATCTTTTATGAAGATTCCTTCCCTTTCCGTCAATCCCATCACAATTAAAGGTGTTAATAGACCAGTTTTGGATTGGATTCAGTCTAATCCAAAATCAATTTGAATGGATTGGATGGACCAACAAGGTATATTGGATTGGATCAATTCTATTCAAAATATTTATTAGATTGGATTAGACTTGGTTAGTCTGTAACAAATTTATATTGGATTGGATTGGATTAAGCCAATATTTGATCCATTGATATAAGATAAGAATATATATATATATATATATATATATATGTCAATGGACTGAGTTTGGGTTGAAACCAATCTAAATCAAAATGAATTTAAACAGATTGGACAGTCCAGCACTGAATTAGATCGGTCCAAATTAGTCCAAAATATTCATTGGATTGGATTGAACCCAGGCCATTTATAATGGACTCACATTGGACTGGATCAGATTGGACCAAATATTGTCCAATTGACACCCCTAATCACAATGTTCTCTTTTCCTCTCCTCTGTTGGTGCTAGTGCAGTCTGTTTACAATGATACTAGCTCACCACCTTCATCTGCTCAATCACCCATTGCCCATGAGCGCCCTAACAACCAAGAACAGGCATGTTACATATAACCATACGCCAGACCTTCGGTTGAAAAGCTGAATACACAAGTAGATGGCAATGACAACTTGTGAAATCTAATGGCTAATGCCCTTCGTGATTTACATAGTGCACCTTATCTTGCTCGTCTATGCTGTGATAACCAAGTAACTTTATTCATTTGCTAACAATCCAATTTTTCATGAACCCACAAACACATTGAATTAAATTTCCATTGAACTTTGTGCATGGAAGATACAATATAGACTTATTTAACTGTCTCATGTTTCCTCTCATTTGTAATTGACGGATCTCTTCACCCAGCCATTGTGCAAGGACTCTTTTGAGAGAGGCTCTATGTTGCAAGTTGGTTTACTCTATCTTCTCAATGATGGTGTGAAGGTTAATTACAGTCTTAGTTATAGAAAGCGTTTTTTCTAATTTTCTATGCTTTAAATCATATTTACTTAAATTTATGTTTTATAAATTTATATGTATTAAATTATTTATTCAGATTTTGAAGTTTTGTTATACTTGTGCTGTTGGATTAGAATAAAAATATGCCTTTTTTCTAATTTTCTATGCTGTTGGATTAGACTAATATTGTGCATCATATGCACATGTTTCGCATGGGATAATGTCGGAGACAAGAAATCGTTAAGGAGAAACACCACTATGCCAAATACTTATTGGGAGAAACGTTTTTTCTTGCTGATGTGGTATGARACAKAACCAAATTAATGCGATTTTGTGGGGAACAGTCATGAAACRTTTTTCTACTATTAGGCAATTTTCTAGAAAATGAATCAYTTATGAAAYAATGACCTAAATAATCTCTTCTTCTAAAATTTATCYTAAACTAYCTCTCCAYTTTSTCYASAATTATCTCTAATTCCTATTTATCTTCTAAATTATCTCTAATTCTTATTTATTTYCACAATTATCWCTAATTTAGTACAGAGTTTCTCTCCTAAATTATCTMTAATTMTTATTTATCTCYACAATTATCTCTAATTTAGTAGAGAGTTTCTTTCCTAAATTATCTCTAATTCCTATTTATCCTCCCCCTACTTTTTATCTATATCTATCTAAAGAAATTTTTGATTAAAAAAATTAACAATTATTTAAGTATTCTAACAAAATTATATAATAACTTTAAAATATTTATTAAAAACACAAAAAATAATTTTATATTTTTATAAAATATATCACAAAATTTCATACTAACAATTTAAACTATGCTTTTCCGGATTATAAATTTAAATGTTTTTCAAATATTTAATAATATGTAATAGCGTTAAATAAATAAAATTCAAAGAACAAAATAATTTAAATATTTATCATAACTATGCTTTCAAAAGTTAAAATAACGAAATTATCTAATAAATAATTTTATATTTTTACAAAATCTATCACGAAACTATGTACTGACAATTTAAATTATATTTTTCCGGATCATCAATTTAAATGTTTTTCAAACATTTAATAATATGTAATAGCTTTAAATAAATAAAATTTAAATAACAAAAGTATAGATTATTTAAATATTAAAAAAACTAGATATCTATCATAACTAGATTTTAAATAGTTAAAATAATGAAATTATGTATAAATTTAAAAAAATTTCTTTAAAGCAGAAAAATAATTATAACATAATATTGAAATTAATTATAATTTAATATATTACAAAATTAATAATAAAATTATGTAATAATAGTATAAATTTGATTTTATGGATAATTAAATTCCATAAATAACTAATATTTTAAAATTTAAATATTTTTCCTATTATTTAAGTAATTAAATAATTGAGTATTTTAAATAACAAAATATTTAACATAACTAGGTTTTAAATAGTTAAAATAAATAAATTATGTAATAAATTTAAAATGTTTCTGAAAAGTAGAAAAATAATTATAACATAATATTGAAATTAACAATAATTTAATATTTTTTTCATAATATTGTAAATAACTAATTCCACTTATATCAAGTAATAATTCGAGAAAATAAATTTCAAAAATTAATATTTATTAATAATAATTTTAAACTCTTAATCTATATTTATTATATAATTATATATACAGAATTAATATTTATTGTATTTTAGTAATTATTTATTGTTTTGTGATAAATTCATTTTTAATGATTATATATAAATTTGTCTTGTTTTGTTATTTAATATAAAACTTTCAATAATTATTGGAGATTAAAATACTTTTAGTGAAATTTTTAAATTTAATTTGTTGTACTTATTTTGTTTATTGTATTTTTGTTATAAATTATTGATTATTATTTATTAGAGATTAAACTATTATTTGAGATTATTATACTATTTATTGATTAAGTTAATATATTTGTAATACTTATTGTAGTTTTGTAATTATTGCATTTTTTTCGTTATCAATATATTTTCAATAATTGTGTATTTTTGCTATCAATTTTCAATAATTATTGGAGATCAAACTATTGTTATTTATCAAAGATGAGACTATGAATTTAGCTGAAATTACTAGTGTTCATGAGTTGGTTTGGTTCGGTCGTAGGCTATTTGGCCAACCAAATTGACCTTGTCAGGTTGGGGAGTTGGTCAGTTGAAACTCACTGACCTTTTGTGAAAATCGACCCACTCAAGTTGTATTGATTTGGGTTGGTTTTGACAAAAGGTCAGATAGTTCAAAAGATTTAAACTTAAAAATTAAATTAAATTTTAAAAATTACTGTGTAATCATTAAAACATAAATTTAAGAATTAGATTTATGAAATAAAACATTTTAAACTAAGAAATATGAGAAATTTCTCACTTTTCATATTGAAAATTATATTTAAAATATAATATATATATATATATATATATATATATATATATATATATATATATATATATATATGTATATATCCATGTTTAGGTTGTTCGATTTTGGCCGATTTATAAATGGCTAAAGTGAAACTAATCCAACTTGGTTGAATTGAAATTTTTTTAACCAAAGCCGACATAAAATAATAGAAAACCGACCAACTCGGGTCAACTTGATCGGGTTGGTCGGTTTCATAAGTTTGATGAATAAATCTAACTGAAATTAATTATTGTTATTTTTGTATTATAAAAAATTTATTAAAAGTAGTATATAAAATATGAATAATTATTAAGTATTTAAAAAGTTAAAAATATAAAACAATTGTATACTCTTATGTGTTTCTATTAGTATCATTTAATAGAACACACCTTATAATTTTACATATTTACTTAAGCCTATCTTATAGTTTTCATTTTACTAAAACATCCCATATATTTTACAACTTATTTACTTTATCAACCTTTCATTAAGTAGTGTTTGTTTTGCCATTAGGTCCATAATTTTTTATTCCAAAAATACACGTAACACTTTTTTATACAGAAAACAAAATTGGCCAAATGTAGTCAATAGAGTGGTTGTTGTGTCTTATTATGGGCAAAAATGATATTTTTATTTTGATTAAATTTATTTAAATAAATATTAGGTCCAATACTGTCATTTTCCACCATCGTCTAATGGAAGATTGATTATATCTATTGCAAATTATAAGTGGTGTTTTAGTGAAATGCTAAGTATATAGTAGATTATAGTAAATCCATGAAATTATAAAAGTATTTTAGTAGATGACCACTTCTACTATTTATCTTTTGCTTAATGCACATCCGGCTAGTAATTAATTAAATTTCAGCACAAATATAGACTGCCTATGCCTATTCACACTTGGAGCCAACATTATCGTTTTATTCGTTGTTTACAAAAAAAAAAAAAAAGGAACTTTTTAAACAGAGAGAAACGCAATCAGGGATGGTGAGGTGGACAACCACATTATTGAAAGATCAAAAACAGAGAAAGGGATGTGCATTCTACCCTTGGCCAATCAATAGTAACCATTCAATATTTTAAGATCCTCATCTCCTCCGTCTTCCCTGCGCTATACGACAAATTCTCACAGACATAAAACGGCATGCCATCCTTCAATTCCAAAAGTTTTATTCCGGCGATTCCTCTCTCTCTCTCTCTCGCGCGCGCGCGCTTGGCTCAAGTTTGCTAAATTAGGTGGTGTTGAGGAATATAATAGGGGCCATGCCAAACCTAGAATCAACCCTCCCGCCTGGCTTCCGTTTCCATCCGACCGATGAAGAACTGATCCTCCATTATCTCAGAAACAAGGCAACCTCGTCTCTGTACCCAGTGTCGCTCATCGCTGAAGTTGATATCTACAAGTTTGATCCATGGGATTTACCAGGTTAGCATGTGTTAACGTTCTAAACTACGTACTAATGCTATAATTTTTTTTTTTTAAATATTAAGGCGTTTGAGGAAACCAGATATATATAACTATTAAGTTGGCTACTGTTAAATTTTGTTACTTGGGTGATGATATTATTAGCTAAAGCGGCTTTTGGTGATAAAGAGTGGTACTTCTTTAGCCCAAGGGATCGCAAGTACCCCAACGGTGCAAGGCCAAACCGAGCAGCAGCGTCGGGATACTGGAAAGCAACCGGAACAGATAAACCGATAGTAGCGATTTCACGGAGTGGACGGAAGGAAAATATAGGTGTGAAGAAGGCGCTTGTTTTCTACAAAGGTCGACCTCCCAAGGGCATCAAGACCAATTGGATCATGCATGAATATCGGCTTGCAGCAGCAGAAATTCATCCCAACAACTACAACAACAACCCCACCAAGCTCATCAAACACTCATCTATGAGGGTAAGTTTGTTTAATTAACCTAACCTCCTCCTCCTCCTCCTCCTCCTCCTCCTCCTCCTCCTTCTTCTTCTTTGTCTTATAAACTTCAACCCCGCCATAATCAAATATAGAATATCATTGTGGGGAAAGCAAAGAAGCCCATAGGACTCTTAAAACCACTTGGGTCCTACGGTAGCTGTAGCTGGAATTTTATATACATAACTGTGATCAGCGGCCTACAGGATTTTCACTGTTGCGAGAGATGAGTTTGAACTTGAAAGTATATACCATACCACATATATGGGTGCTTAAGTGTGAACCCAAAACTATCAATTAATTAAACAAACTTCTCCTAGTCAGTAATCACGATCGGCCCGTGCCGTTAATTGGCATCAAATGACAGACGTGCCTTTTCATTTACCCATCGAGCCTTGTAAAGAAGATGGCATGATTCCATATGGATATCAAAAGACTGTGTTGCTATCAATATTCAATGATATATATATATATATATATATATATATATATATATTCAGTTCCATTTGATACTGCTGCATCCAGTCTCCCATGGCTAAGAAACAGGGCATATGATGAGTCTCTCATTTGAAACTGAGTGACTTATTGATTTCTCTTTTAAAAGGTGAGGAAAAGAAGGAAAAGGTAGGAAAACCTATACATTGGTTTTTTGTAGGTTCCCTACCTTTCTCCATCTTTTCTTTCAAACCAAACATAGACTTAGTGAATAAATTATCAAGAGATTCTTAATTAATAAAATATTTGAGGATATAATCAACTCAACTTTAGCCTCATTGAAGGAGCTCAGAATTCCCTTAATAACCTTTTCACTAAAAGATGTCAAACCGCCCTTAATTGTAAAAAAAAATGAAATTTATTCACTAAATGACAAAATTTGTCATTCAGTTCAATCACTTAGGCCGTTATCAAACTGTCCTAAAGTGATATTATGTAAAATCCATCATTCAAAATGGATCCGATCTGGTGCTTATACTGATCCATTTATTTCTTTTCTTTTCCTTTATCTCATTCCACTATTGGTTGGTACCCCCATACTGGATGCGTTTTGCCAAAACTTATGCTTTGGACATTAATTGAAGGGATCTAAATTATTAAAGCTGCCAATGGATGAGATTATAGTCTGGATCCCTTTGATGAGCTGAATATGAACTCTAAATATAATATTATATAGCTGTAATATAATTTTTGCCAACATTTGTTAACATATTTAGTTTGAGTTATGTGCTTTTAATTTGTAACTGAGAAATAGTACTGTCAAGGACTCAAAGTAGTCTCCCTGCTGCTGGTAGTGGTAGGATACTTTCCAGCCTTCATCGGGGTTGTAGGCCTCATATGTGGTTTGGGGGATCCACTACACAATTGGGTAGCTACTCTGCTTTGGGGGACAAATCAAATTGACGATACCAACATGAATCAGATCCGAGATTAGATCTGCAAACGGTATCTATTTATATCCAAATTCAATCCTTTTAAGGATTATCCGAATTTGGATCCACCCCTATCCTATTCAATTAGATATCTATACTTAGAATTTATACTATATTTATTCATGATATACAATGCGTAAAAATCATACTTAGTTCATTATATAAAGAACGTGTATAATATTTTGATAGTTTTTACTTTTTAGTTTAATTTATTAATGGCTTTTATTGCAATTTGAACTTATACTATATTAATGCTATTTTATCTTTTTGGGCTGATGCTCAACATCACTAATTAGGGGTCTGTCCTGGAAGACCGCTTGCTTCCCTCATGGACGGAGCAAAGTTGAACTCATATTCTCTTTCTAAAGCATATTTGGGTATTGAATTAAACAGATGTTATTGTTATTATCATCTTGATCATTTTGTAAGAAAAGTGTAACTGTTTCAAAGAATCATTCAACTTAAAAGCTTAAGCTGTTAGTGAGGTCCTTGAACAACACTAGACCACTTGATCAAAGTGGCTCTGATACGATTGGGTACTCTGCCGAATAACAAGCTTAATTATTATTGTTTTCACTTTTCAGTTAGACGATTGGGTACTCTGCCGAATCTACAATAAGTCCAACAGTCCCTCAAACACATCAAGGATCGGGGATGGAGAAGAAGAGAACATTTTGATAAAGGACCTCCTGATCTTACCAAGCTTGCCAAACCATGAAAGCAAAAACACTATCAGCAGCAACCCCCTGAGGTCGTCCTCCTCCAACTTGCTGGAAGATATGGATTACTCTTTCTTGAATTGCCTCCTATCCGACAATTCATCTGAATTGAATGGCTCAGAACATTGTCCGGTTCTCGATCATGGCAACCCAGCTGCAGCTGGTATCCTGCCCTTGAACAATAATACCAACAATTGTGGCAACCACCAGCACCAAAAGCTTCCTCAAATGGATCCTACTTCTTCACTGATGGAAAGCAAGATGATGCGTCAATGCTCAGTTGCCATAAACATGGACGATAACATGTTGTTATACCCAACAAAGAAACTTGCTGGTGATCCTTGCAGCTTCGCCAGCAGCACCAACGAACTGGAATACGCTCGGTATTACCACTTGCACTGTCATCAGCAGCCACTATCCTTGAACCAGCAGCAATTACTCTTCAGTTCCCATCTTCATTCCCAAAGACAAAAGGAAGATAAAAAGGGAAAACATGTGAATTGGAACGTAAACTCATGTCTTAATAATTAATTACGTACGTAAGTCATCTTTGTGCAGAAAGAAGATGTATTTGTTTCATACCGGAAGACTGAATGGTATCAGAAACAGAAACCATTTTGAACAAGTGATCAAAGTAAGGTTTGTTGATTTAGAAGATTAGCTTTGTAGTTAAGTATCTGATTTGGAACATTAGATCTATTTATAAATTGTATTTTCTTTGCCCCTCGTTTGGTGATTAAATTCTTAAAACTTGCATGCTATACTTTATTTTTACCACTTCATTCGATCAGTGGGTCTGAGGGATATTTCCATTTCGTATTTCGTACGCTCTTCTTCTGGCATTTCGTACATTCTTCTTAGGAGAAGTTATACATGGTTATTAAATCATGTTAAGGATGATCCATATCCCAAGCGTTCCGTTCGTATATATCAGCCACGTTAATAGTATGGGTGTACACAAACGCTTCATGGATAATGGTTTCTCTCCTAACTAATCAGTTGCAGCAGGTTGCTAGCTATAACACAAAGATATACTTAACTCAGCTATTCAAATTTTGTATTTTAAATTTGTGAATGAGTTCTAATTTTTAAGAATGTTCATTCGGCAGAATTTGGCTCTTCATTTTAAGTTATGTCAGGGGAAGATTTAATTATATAATATTAACTAAAGACTGACCCCATACTAAGTACGGGGCTAGTATTTTAATATTGGGGTTTTTATAGTTCAGTCCACCCCTAGGGTGGAGCTAAGATTTTTAGGGGTGGACTGAATCCTTAACGTGGATTGATGCCAAATCTATGGGCAAGATGCTGTTTATAGGGGACTACTAGTAGACTACAAGGGGGCTGCAATTTCAGATTTCTGAGGTGGATTGTAGTCCACTTATCCTGTATTTATTCGTAATATTCTGATAGTTTTGTTTGACACACTGGGCTCCTAAATATAATTTTGTTTAGAATTTGCTATTTATTTGGAATATCTAATTTGAATTTGTCATTTAATGTTTAATTTATAGTTGACAACCTATTTCATACAAAAAAAATTGGAACCTACACCTTTAACAATCTTTTATTACTAATGCTCAGTTTGAAAAGAGTACAAATGCAAATATGTATAGTACAAATACATACAAAATAATACAAAATATAAGGTTTTGCACTTATTAGAGTATATCCAATTGTTACACTCTTGTATATCTAGRACTCCATCCATAGGATAACAATTATCCTTAGGAGTTAGGATAATTGCCATCCTACTAAGATGGGATCTATTTTGTGTACTATCTCTTGGTTGCAATCTAGGATATCTCTTTGTGCAATTCCTCCATTATAACTACAATGCAAGGTCAATGGCCAATTCACTACGCCCAAATATTTCTTGGCCTTTCTTTCCTCTAAGTTGGTATTAGAGCATCGCCGATCCCATGGCTTCCAGCGGCTTCAGTTCTGCTTCTCAGCAATCATCAGGTGCGTCAGCCTCCAGCAATGTGGCATGTTCAAATTTGGTTCCCCATAGTGGGATCCATTATATCCCTATCAAGCTCACAAACAACAACTACCTGCTTTGGAAGGTGCATCTACTGCCAGTTCTCTACACCAACCGTCTAATAGGGTATGTAGATGCTTCTATTGTTACACCTCCTCAGTATATACCAGATCCGACAGATGAAGGTCGAATGATTCTCAATCCAGCACATTGTGTCACTTACGGAAAACATGTTTGCCCAAGTTGTAGGACATCGGTCATCCCGTGATGTTTGGAATGCTCTAGCCAAGTCTTTTGCAAACTACTCATGATCCAGGTTGATGCAATACAGAAGGCAGCTTCAGAGTCTCAAAAAGGGAGGTATATCTATTTTTGAATATGTTAGAAAAGCTAAATCCGTAGTAGATAGCAGTGTAGCTGTCGTAGAACCAGTAAAAATGAGTGATTTAATTCTGTATATATTAGCCGAACTAGGGTCCGAATATGAATTTGTTGTTACTACCATCACTAATAGGTCCGACATAGAGGACCTCGATATTGATGATATTTTAGGCATTCTTCTTGGCCATGAAAGCTGGTTAGAACAGAATGCTACCACGGTTGATTCACCCCTGCGGCCAATATGGCCAATTTTAAAAATAAAAATCAAAGTAATAATCAGTACTCTCCTTCCGGGGCATGGTTCTTCATATAACCGCCCAAATAATAGTGGCAGAGGGTGTGGTAACACAATTGTTTGTTAGCTATGCAATAAGCCGAGACATGGTGTGATTAAATGTCACCGGCAGTATGATCTCAACGAAGGGATGAGAGATCCATCATATGGATGGTCGAACCCTACAGGAAGGTTAGGCGAAATTTCAAATATTTCTTTATTCCCATTCGAGAATCCTATTCCCAATTTAGAAAATTACATTTTCAATATTCGTTCTTGTGACCAAACCGGACCAAATCTGAAACCAAGATTAGGGAGGGATGTACATGATATGAAATCTACACAAAAAGCTCCTCCCAACGTAGGTGTTCACGACCAAAGAGTGTACCAAATCCTCCATCCACTAAAGATGACACAGCTTAGGATGAGGCAGGATCAGCAGGTAGTTCTACACCAAGAACTTGTGATTCTTCAGCAAGTATCGAATGGGGTAGTGAGCACAGCTTCAAATTGTTTCTTCCAGCAAGAAACAATATCAAGATCAAATCTTGATTAGATCCAAGAACTAGAGATCAAATAGGGTAGGGCGGTAAGAGCAGGAAGAAAAAGAACTGAAGGCAAGACCAGTCCAACGGACTTGTCTTCTCTCTGTGTTGTGTCTGGTGTCTTTTTCAGGTCTGCCCTGCTCTCTATTATAACCTTAAAGAGACAACCTCCTAATTTGATTAGCAGTTTCTTGATCCAAATCTTTATTTGGATCTGGACTCTTTAAGTGATAAAGATAATCCCTTATCTTATTTGCATTTCAAAATCAACTTATTTCTAATCAAATTAGGAGTTTCCTGATCTAAATATTTGGATCTGGACTCTTTAAGTGGATAAGAGTTATCCTCTTATCCTTATCTGCTGATCCAAACCCAGATCTGCCTCTATTAAATTAATCCAATTAACCCATTTCGAAATGGGCTTTTAGGCCCATTAAGTTTTCAGGCTCACTTCCTTTTAATGCTGGCGGGCATGGATCTCTGTGTATGGCGTGGGACCCTAACATTGATCTACACATCAACCACATGGGTTCAGCCCAGCCTCTGCTACAAAGCCTGGCCGAATTCACTACTGAATATAGTGAACCCCTGAGTCCATCACCATGGGTTCTTAATGTGTCCAACATTTACACTAAATGGTCATTGGGTCCAGCCATCTTATGAAGGCCCAAGGACTGTGGGTAGATACAAAATTAGCCCATCAAGTATAACCCTCAATGGTCTTACACTTAACATCTCAGCCCTTAATGATCAAACACTGTCTCATCGATGCAAAGATAAATCAATTCAGACTTTGAATATTCATCGTAGGAATTATTTTCCTTCATCTCCCTAATCTAGTTAATCAGAAAGCAAGCGATCCTCTTAACCTTACTACTGAACAACCCCTAAACAAGCGTTAAAAATTTAATATAGCAGTAGCCTTAAGCTTTAGAGATCAATGAAGCTAAACAACACAAGCACAAGCGGTTGCATTTAATTCAGTCGAGTGTTCTTCCTAAGATCTAACAATTCCTGACACAACAAATCATTAGACCCTAGTTGCTTCGCAGATTAGAGGGATCAAACAATTATGGATCTAATATCTAACCTAGTAGTAGATTGCAACGAATAATAAACTAGTAGGCCTCCAAGCAATCAGACGAAACAACCAAATACATGAACATAGAAGAACATTCGATATTCAAAGCATAAATCAAACAATAAAAATCAAATTAGAACTCACAGTTTTGTTGATTCTAATGCTTCCGTTTCCTTTGACCAAGTATCAGAATTAGCCACGCATGGTCATGGTGAAAACTCAAGAAAAATCAGAGAAGAGAGAAGAGAAGAGGAGAGGTGTGGCAGCCCTAGGTCTGATTTTTTTTTTCCTCTTCTTTTCTTTCTCTCTACTTCCCCCAAGAGAAGCCTACAAAATCTCATAAATTTTCTCTAGATAACAGTCTCCAAGTCTAACTTGTCAAGAAAAATATCAAAGATAGGATAAAATAAAGTTCTAATGTAAGTGGGAGAGTAGTGATTTCGCATATGAAAACTTACAGGCTAAGGAACGTTTTCAGCACATCAGCAATGCGGTTGTAGCTACTTCGAGTCCGATTTCGATCTCGATGCAGTTAGTTTATATCAAACCTCAAAACATAAAAGTTGTAGAATTTTTCCTTATCGTTTCAACGCATCTTCAATCATCTCAATCGGAGTTCGGATGAGAGAATTATATCCAAATTATGACGCGGTGCCGAAACTGTCCAGAATTACTCGATTAGCTTTGTTTTTCACTTAACGCCTCTATTTGTGCCCTAAATCAAAATATAAGAATAATGAGTGCATTTGGACATCAAATAAGTATAAAAGACTAAATATTAAGGGAGAAAAATATGATATTTTGCATTCTCATCAGTAATCTTATCCCCACTGGTCTTCTTGTAAACACAGGGTTCATCCGGATTCTGCTCAAAGTCAAACTGTTTGACAGTAGAGTCAAACCTGATCTTCCAGCTCCTAAAAACTTGCTTAAGTCCATATATGGATCATTCGAGTTTACATACCATGTGTTCATGACCTGCAGCTATGAATCCTTGCGGTTTCTACATATAGATATTTTCAGTAAGATCTCCATTCAGGAACGTAGTTTTGATATCAATTTTCCAAATCTCATAGTCATGGTATGCTGCCACAGCTAGCAAGATCCTAATGGATTTAAGCATGGCCACGGGCGAAAATGTTTCCTCATAATCGATTCCCTCTTTCTAAGTGTATCCTTTCACCACAAGACGAGCCTTGTAGGTCTCAACCTTACCATCAGGGCCCTTCTTTCTCTTATAGATCCATTTGCAATCGATTGCTTTTACCCTAGGGGACGGATCTACTAGAGTCCAGACTCCATTGGCCTCCATTGAGTCCATTTCAACTCTCATGGCATCTACCCACTTCAAGGAATCTTTGTCTAACATAGGTTTTGTATAAGTCACGGGATCCTCCTCACTGGTCGTGGCTTCCACCAAGTAACTTTCTTGGTCATAGCCATAATGAACTAGAG